TTAGTAAAGGATCAGTTAGTAATGTTAGACGAATAAAATATTACACTGTAATATATACTAAGATACAAAATTATGACACGAACATTATTCATTATTGTTGAATGGAATCAAAGAGAAAACACAATTCATCGAAAGTAGATGTAGAGTAACTTTTATGTGAAATACATGAGGATAAATATTTTATTTTTGTATTTCAAATTACAGATATCTATTACATAATTTAATATCAAAACATCATTGCCTTCTTATTATATATACAAAATTAATTATCGGAGTGAATAACTTTTGTTTACGATATTAATAATTAACTATTGATGGTTGAAATCAACACGTGTCATCTGCATTACCACCAAACCTTCTCGCTAGTTTCGATTATACAGTGGTGGCTCAGTGGTTAAAGGGCCCGCCTCTCGGCCTCTCGTCGCCGAGGGCGCGGGTTCGATCCTGGCCCGTGCAAAGGTGATTTTTCCGAGTCATATGTACTTTCTAAGAGTATTTAGACATCACTGATTAATGTTGATTCCCAAAAGAGGGTTGATGTCAGGCAGGCGGCCGGTCGTAAAACAAATAGCCAAAAACTATTCTTAACATGTAAGGCAGACCCTGGCTATAGCTGGGAAATTGCCAGGTAGAAGAAGACCTTCAATAGCTTGGGAGACTAAAGATAATCAAGAATATAGGCATTGGTAATGTCAGTATTTCTGACGTCACTATACTTAAATAAATAAGTAGTTTTAATGCTTATAATGAAGCATCTATCACAAAATTAATATGGGTTATAGTTACGATTAAGTATTAAGTCCAGTGATATTTATTTTGTCCCTTATCTATATAACAATATTTAATTCACATTTCGCATGATTTGATATACGAATTATAATATTTACATTCACTGTTAATATTTATATATATATAATATTCAAATAGTATACATTTGATAGACGAATTCTTTGTAGTTAAGCTTTGAAATATTCCCAGTATATGGTTACCAGGATTATAATAGTAGCAGATAATATTTTTATGTTTGGTTTTATTTGATTTTAGTGATGTGTCAGGTATGCTATGCCCTATTGCTTGTAAGGATTGTATTAAAGAACATATTCACATTAGGGTAACAATTAATTATTTTTGTATAAAAATATGTCTCCAAAATCTACTGTTATATCTGTTGTGTTGCGTTACACGACAATATTTTTTTTTTTAAATTAATCTTGCAACTCAATTTTGGAATAAATATCTTCGACTGATTTAGCTGAATATAATTATACAAGTTCAAATTAGAGAACAGTACATAGTTAACTTTTTGACCTAGTTCATAGGTCAATTATGGCGACATATCTAAGGTATCAACTGAAATGACTTGGGAAATATAACTTGAAACACCTGCCTAAAAATTAAAATTAAGAAAAAAATATATATCATAAATATCTTTTGAAAAATAAGCTTCCATTTTAATAAACTTATAAGACAAAAGAAATGAAAACATTTATGTATTTGATTTAAAAGTATGATTCAAGATTAACTTGTATAGAAAAACGAATACATTTAAATATTTGATTTCATTGATTGGAATTAAAATTATTCAATTCGAATACATAAGTCTTATACTTCAAAACGTTTAGTTTTTCGCAATACTTAGTAATTCAAGGAAGCCAAAACAATCTATACATCACATCAAATAAACTCATCCTGAGGAAATGAAAATGATCGATATTTTATGTTCAATGTTTTATATTTTGGAATTTGTATACTCTTTTAATTCAGAGATAGGAATCAGAGACAGAAAAAGAAACCAGTAAATTCAAATTATCATTTAGGGAAAACCTATTAGACGATATACAAAGCATCATTACTATCGTTTTGTTAATTAATCCATTACCCAAACACAAATAACGTATTTAAAGGAAGCTCTTCAGGTACTTTTAGTCATAACCGAACTAGTCATGAAGAGTAAACACATACTGTTGGCTGGTTTGATACTAGCTCAGCTGATTTATGTCAACTGCTTCGCCTGGGCCGTAGTGGGAATCGCTACAACAGCTCTTGGCACAATTATCAACATCATTGAAAAAACAAAAGTATGGACAGTTGAAGTACACAACGAAGGAAAACATCACGCTCATATGTGGTGTGCCTCTAAGGACGATAAAATTGGGGGAGATGACGGCATCTGGGTGAAACCGGGAGACAAGATCATGTGGTCGTTCCGAAGACATCGAACAACTCAGTTCTGGTGTAATATGGACTGGTATGGACAGCGAGTGGGATGGGATGTCTTTGTTAACAACTGGAGAGATGCACCAAACCCAACGAAATGGTCAATAAGAAATGATGGAGTTTATGATCAATGGAAGAATAGGAAGTGGAGAAACTTAAACAGTTAAGATAAAACACACCAGTTTCTTTAAACGTAAAGACAGAATTTTGTTGAGCTAAACATAACTGTGATTATATTTCTGTATTGTTGTAATAAATTATATTAGAATCTGTAGACTTTTTGTTTTTTCTCATACACTGACAGGCCAATGATTTACAATATTAATAAAAGCAGGAAATTCAATAAAATTTAATTAAATACCTTACTACATTTATTATATTATGTAAAATGAAAAGTAAATTATCATGTCAGTAGTAGGGTAAATAATAATCTGTAAGACTTACTAGGAACATTAGAAAACAACAAACTCGGTGGAATCAATTATTCAAATACATCAATACCTATACAAATTGGCATAGAGTCGTCATTGAAGTCTTAAAAGGAGTATAATATAATATAATAAATAGAATATTCACAGTAATTTTCAATTAAAATGCACTTATGTTCAAAAACTATGTACATTTTTATATAAATACTCTTACGTCAATATCTTTGTTAAAGAAAGATCTAAACGTAAAAAGTATTGAGTTTGAAGTAAATAAATAATTTAGTATTGAAACAAAAAACATTGAGTAAGAAGAATATTTAAAATTATTTTATATCGAGGTAACCTTCGTCAAATGATAGAAAAATGTTTTAAATCCAGACTGACACTCGAAAATAAGAAACGTGCGTAAAAAATATTTGTTAAGTTACATTTCTATTGTGCGGAATAATTAATCTGCCATTAGTAAAGTATCAGAAAAGTAGTAAAGTAATGTTTGACGAGTAAAATGTTATACTATGATAATACTATGATACAATCATGACACGAACATTATTCCCTTATCATTATTGTTGGATGGAATCAAAAAGAAAACATAATTTATCGAAAACAGATTTAGAGTAACCTTTTTTGTAAGAAACATGAGAAGCATGAGAATTAATATATAACTTTTGTATTTCAAATTACATAATATATACATATATTACATTAAAGTGTATCAAAGCATTATTGTCTTCTTATAGTACATATAATATTATCATCGAAGGGAATAGCTTTTATTTACGTTATTAATAATTAATCATTTATGGTAAAATTTTTACGTGAATCATGAAGGATGGCCACCGGAGGTTTCAGGAAAACTACGAAACTTAAAATTACATATTAAAACTTATAAAGTATACCTAAGACTACATGATTGCCCCGATGTTAGGGTAGCAATACGATTCCATAGCTTGTGTGGTATCAGGAATCATCTGGTTCACACGGCTTGGTGTTCGTTCGGCGCAGTCAGCGGCGTCACTCGTTGTATGATATTTTATCCATACAACGATGGTGACCCGACCATGTTCATTTATTCCTTAATATGTAACACTTGTCATCTGCATATCTACCAAATCTGCTAGCTCGTTTCAATGCAGCAATGCAACTTCTTTGAAAAAAAGGATTCGTCAAACGGTCTACAAGGTTACCTTCAATAGCCTGAGAGACTGAATATAATCAGAAACAAAGACATTGGTGACGTCAGTATTTCTTTCGTCACTATAATTTAATAGTGTTCATGCTTACAATGAAGCGTTTATATCATCATTAATATGTGTTATAGTTACGATTAAGTATTAAGTCCGGTGATATTTATTTGGTCACTAATCTATGTAACAATATATAATTAACATTGGGTATGATATCATAAACTCATTATAATATTTACTATCACTGTTAATATTTATATATAATATATTTAATTAACATATAATCATTACAAGTATGTTTTGTAGTTCAGCTTTGATATTTCCAGTATATTATTACCGGGATTTTAGTACTTGATATTTTAATGTTGATTTTTATTTAATGTCAGGGATAACTCTGTGTATGCTAAAACCCTTTTAATTGGTAAACTTATGTTAAGAAACCTATTTATATTTTGTATAATTAAGGATAATAATCAATCATTATATAATAATATATGTCTCCAAAATCTACCGATATATTATTTACTCGAATTACACTACTAGATTTTTTAAATAAATCTTGCGACTCAATTTTGAAATAGATATCTGCAGCAGAGTGTGCTGAATTTAATAATAGTTTAGTTTAGAGAACAATAACTTGTTAACTTGTGACGTAAAAATAAAAAAATATAAAAATCTTTAGAAAAAAAATAAGCTTCTATTTTAATTAACTATAATGACAAAAATCACAAGCTTTATGTGATTTAACTGTATGATACAAGAGTAATTTGTAAAGAAAAATGAATAAATTATAATATTTTGTGTGATTGATTTGATCTATCAACATGATTAACCTATTCACTGTCAGTAAGTCTAACACTTGAAAATGTTTAGTTGATTTCAATTCTTAGTACTTAGAGAATTCACATCAATCTGCACAATACATCAAATAAACTCATCCTGAGGAAATGCAATTGATCGATATTTTATATTCAATGTTTAATATTTTAAACTTTGCATACTGGTTTTCTTGAGAGATACGAAGCACAGACAGAAGTAGAAACCAGCAAATGTTTGGCGATGGATTGACGTCCAAAATTATCATTTAGGGAAAACCTATTAGACGATATACAAAGCATCATTACTATCCTATGTTAATTAAAACATTACCCAAACACAAATAACCGACATGAATAATAGTAACGGGTTAAACCACAACAATAAGATTATGGAAGAGTATTTAATGGAAGTTCCTCAGGTACTTGAAGTCAATACCGAACTAGTCATGAAGAGTAAACACATACTGTTGGCTAGTTTGATACTAGCTCAGCTGATTTATGTCAACTGCTTCGCATGGGCCGTAGTGGGAATCGCTACATCAGCTCTTGGCACAATTATCAACATCATTGAAAAAACTAAAGTGTGGACTGTGGAAGTACATAACAATGGCAAACATCACGCTCATATGTGGTGTGCTTCTAAGGACGATAAAATCGGAGGAAATAACGGCATCTGGGTGAAACCGGGAGACAAGATCATGTGGTCGTTCCGAAGACATCGAACAACTCAGTTCTGGTGCAATATGGACTGGTATGGACAGCGAGTGGGATGGGATGTGTTTGTTAACAACTGGAGAGATGCACCAAACCCAACGAAATGGTCCATAAGGAATGATGGTGTTTATGATCAATGGAAGAATAGGAAGTGGAGAAAGTTAAGAAGTTAATTTTTCTCTTTACCATAAAAAAATATATATTCACATTGTCAATTTTATGGTTTATAGCCACAGTTGCTCTCAGACACCAATTACATGCTCAAATCTTTAAAGGAATTCACTTTTAAGGAACATACTGTTCTTTACACAATAGTAAAGATATGTACTATACTAAGTGAAATAATCTTGGAATATCAAGACTACATAGATAACATTATCTTCTGAACTACAAATATATTCAACGATCTGTTATAAAAGGGAAACATAATGCATCTAAATCACATGGAACACATTAGGTTCGTTATAAATGTGTACTTCTTGTAATAAATATTCTTATTATACATAATATTTTATTTTTCGTGTCTAAAAACGCCCTCCAATAACTCAATCTATCAAGCAGCACCTTTGTTATAGTTTTGCATACAACTATTATAATAGGTACGGCGAATACTGACTTAGTTTTATACATGTTTTGTTTTGACAATCAACCTCTAAATAACAACACAATTTGCTTGACATTTATAATAAATACATTTTTAAGTTATCTTCTTAACTTTTTATACTTTTTCCTTATTTAATTTAAGACCAGTATATTAGTAATAAATACAAAAAAAATTATTCGAAATATTTGTTGTATCCTTTCATAATTAGGTTCTTACACATTTAAGATAATGACTTCATTTTCAATTAAACATTATATTTCATACTATTAAAATGTTCTCATTCTTTGGGTTTTGCTTAAGTTTTTGCATAATTACGAAAATGAAATAGACCAGAAAAAAACGTTACTGTATTGTATAAGTTCAATTTATCTCGTATTACATTTGTCAAGACGCAGTTAATTCGAACAGAAATAAGTAGCTCTTAGGATTATTATTTATTATAATAATTAAAATAGTACCAAAATATGTAATGCTTTAATAAGATAAATAAGAAACGAATGAAAGAAATATATTTATCTAACATAAAAAACTCTGGATTATTTTGAGAAATAATGTAATAAATTAAAATCCAAATTCTTATTTAGGTAAGATAATTTACTGAGATGTTCTTCAATATTCAAATTATAAGATAAAAAAAATATGTATTGGTTTTTAATTGTACATAAAATGAGTCGTAGGTAATATTTTTTGCTACAACCCACAAAATAGGTATTTTGTATGAGCAAGAAACTTGTTATGTATGAATTGTACAAGTAATAATTTATGACAATCAGGTTTAATGGTATTTACAACGAAACTCTATAAAAGGTAGATCTCTAGGTAGGAAAGTTCAGAGAAGAACTAAATATGAATAAGTACGCATTGGTGGTTGGTTTGTTAGTGTGTCAAATCGTCTACGTAAATAGTTGGGTCGTGGCTGCTCTCGGCGCCATTATTAATATCGTAGATAAAACACAAGAGTGGACTGTTGAAGTACACAACGAAGGAAAACATCATGCTCATATGTGGTGCGCCTCTAAAGACGACAAGATCGGTGGAGACGATGGCGTTTGGGTGAAGCCGGGGGATAAAATAGTGTGGGCCTTCAAAAGACATCGAACAACGCAATTCTGGTGTAATATGGACTGGTATGGACAGCGAGTGGGATGGGATGTGTATGTTAACAACTGGAAGGATGCACCGAATCCAACGAAATGGTCAATAAGGAATGATGGTGTTTATGATCAATGGAGGAATAGGAAGTGGCGCGACTTAAACAGTTAAATATCAAGAACACGTCTTCATATATCAAAAGATATAACAAATGATGAAGAAAAAAAAATAAAATGTGTAATTTACTCTGCTATGTATAATATGATGAATAAAAAGCATTTACCCTTAAACCTGGTTTATTTTACCTCTACGAGTTTTCAATTTTATAAGTTTTTACTAAATCCTTTTCTGTCTCTAAGAAGTATGTTAATAACAATAATAATGATAAAAGTTAATAATAAATAACCTAAATCTATTAATGTTATATATTGTTTATAAATTATAATAAAAATCTTCTGAAGACGATCAGTTGTATATGATCTATTACTCGTATGTATATATCACAGATCTTAATACGAAACAAAGTAACTTTTTCATTGTTTAAACATTATTCGTTTAGAATGTCAACATTCAACATTGTACCATGGACGATTTTGTTTTTCGGAATCTGTTCTCGCTCCCTCAAACGTTTCTCAGGTAACGTGATAATCATTCATATTAAACTTAAATCAATGTAGTATTATGAATTAAGTTTACTCCCGTTCAAAAAATAAACATGCTTATACTTAAGGGATAAAGATATAATTTACCAGATATTCACAATTAAAGCTCTTATTACTTACACGAAGATTATTTTGCATCCCCTATAATTATATCTTAAAAGAAAATAGAGAATATTCTTTTAAACTAAAATAATACCTTGACTTTGGTAAACTAACGTTTTGGTAAACTAATGTTAATGTTTGCTTAATGAATTTATATAACAAATACCTTACTGAGACGAGAAAAACAATAAATAATTAGTAAAGAAAAATAGAAAACGCACTATACACAATAAATTTTTGTTAAGCCGATTGAGATGTAAGACTTTCACGAGTATTAATTTAAATGAAACTAATATTATCAGATTAACAACTATGTATGTACATACTCCCGATAATTTGGTTACTTTCTTTCGGTGATCACGGTTGCTGAAAAATAACCGAAACCTCGAGAGTATGTAGTTTTTATAATAATAAAAACATATTTGTTTCCTTTCAACATAAATTAATATGAAAAATAATATCGTTATTATTAATTCCAATTAAAAAGTGGAATAATAAGGTCAGGCAAATACTGATGTTTTATGAATGTATGTATGTAGGTATACTAAATATAGTTGTTAGGACTCATATGTACACAACATAATATTAAGGATATATTTGTGTTTGAGATTGTGATGTGATTCAGTTAACAATTTAGTTACTTTACTTGTACAAGTAATGTACATTAAATACTAGATGTTGGAAAGTTAACATTTTAATTAGTATTTTTATAAATATTATACTCGTAATATACAAGGAATGTATTGTTTTGGTGTGACTTTACTTTTTGGAGAAAAACTAGTGGCTATAAGTTTTAAAGTCAGATATTAAGGTAATTTGACATTAGGAAAAATTAAAAAAATATACAATTAAAAAAAGGGTATTGTATCGGGACAGACAAATACTAAGTCATTTTAAAATCTCATTTACTTAAACCAACCAATTAAAATTAGTAGAAAAGGTTGTATTGTTAATATACATGATATCATTATTTCTTTACCTACTAGTAAAACTAAAGTCGAAATGACTAGTATATATGTAAATATATAATTACATCGAGTAACAATTAAGAAAACGCGTTCATATATTTTCTTGAACGTAACGTAAATATTTCAGAAACTTACACATACTCGTACCCGTACAACTGAATTAATAATTATCGCCTAGATATACCACAACGGAAAGCCTCCGAGGCATAAAATAAAGACTCGTTATTTTGGTCGTATTTCACGTTATAGCGGACGTTAATATTCAATAATATTCGTGTGTGAATTACGCTTATGTTTCTGTCACACTTTGCGTGAATTATTTCGTGTAATGCACCAACTCTGCAGCTGAATCGTCGCTGCTCGATTTCACGCCATTGCTTATAATTGAGATAAACTTTTGACTTTAATTACTTCAACAACATATTTTTGTCACCATGTTAAAAATAAAAGTTTATAAACAGGAATAATAGTCAAATGAGTTTTTAGTTTGGTAGCTTTAAGTAAGTTCTATAGTAAACAACTAGATATTTTAAGAATACGAGTGCACTTTGGTTAATCGTCCATTTCAGTATTATGGGTGCTCAAATAAAAGTCTTGTGAAAGCAAATAATAGTATTTGTTGAACTAAGATTTTTGAATATACTACGGGTGTTTTATTATTTTAAAGCAACATACTTTTCATCTCCAACGCTCGTGATCACGGTTGCTGCAAAGGATTCGAAATATCGGGCGTTTGTAGTTTTTAAAATATTTAAAAAATGCGTAGTGAGTATATCCATAAATCTAGTTTTTTTTAGATTAATAAACGTGAATATATTAAATATCATTACGAGTCTATTAACAATTCATTGAGTTCATTATATTTATTTCTAAATTTTTTCTTATCAGTTTCATCTCGTATTGATATTTAACTATGATTTTGTTTTCACTTTCACCTTTTTCTTGTTTTTCTTTTCAAAACATAATAAATGTTCCTCATAAGTCCTTGAACTGTGGTGAAATGTTGGAGATAAACAAGATACAGGAAAGACAATGAGAACGTCACAAAGTATTTAGATCAACGTAATTGTCACTGAGGTTAATACATCAGTAAGGAATTTTATGTCATACATACAATAGAAATGAAGATAAAGATTATTATGTATTATGTGATAATTAGTCCTCATTCAAGAAATTTTATTAACAAATACTTCTTTCGTTATATATTATACAACCAAGTAAACTAACTGCTCAAAGTCATTACATAGTTCGTTGAGATTTCTGATGTCGATGAGGAAAATATATTTAAAAATGTGTTTTTATTTAAAACATGTTATAAATACACTCACACTCAACTAATTATATTATTGTTTATTAAATATATAAGTCTGAATATTTTGTGTGTAATAAATTAAGATGTTGTTCAATACACGCATAGATCTATATTACACATATCATAACCTTACCATTCCATGAATATCTGAATATTTAAAAGTAATTATAGCCTTTTCACTAATTCGTCTTATGAACTTCATTATAATCTAGTAATTTTATTTGAACAAAACATCAGTACGTCACGATTTAACCTTCATAATGTTAATATGGTTTGACCTGTTTTTACAATAAGAATGGAAGTCTATAAATATTATTGTATTGAGTAATTATCCTTAAACTTATATAATTGTTTGTCATCTATTTTAGATTGAGTAATGCTTGTATACATTCTCACATAAAACAAACGAGCAGTGAAGCTGCTTTGTTTTTGGTTGTCATATCAATGAATATCATTATTTGTTGCTATAGTTCTCATTATTACTTTACATTTACATATATTTGAATTGATATTAATAAGAGGATAGTACTTTTCTTGTCTAACGTGTAAGCGAAGCAGTCCATGAAATTACAATACATAAATATATAATTAGCTGATTTTTTTCTAAATATTATTTATTTAATAAATCACGTGCAAATAGGAAGTCAAGATAATCAAGTTATTCCATGTCTGTTTAGATTCTTGTTAATAATTATCGTTATCTGAACGTCTTTGTTTAAACCTGAGTCATCTCATTTCTGTCAAAGACATATTGCAATAATTTTTATGATTCCAATGTCAATTTTCTTAATTCAATTAGTAATAACATCTAATATTGTATACAAACACATGAAACTTTCAAATAATCTCAATCTAATTAATGAAAACTATCAGTAAAAAATTATAAAAACCACTTATGTTTTTATTTATAATACTTTTTTATATTTTAAATGTTAACATAATATCGTTTTATATGTCTATGTTTATTGTATATAATCAGTTCCCACCCAGGTCAAAGTCTCTGTTTGTCAGGATACCAGAGTCATAATGAAGTTACTAAGTTATTCAGTTGATTGATAACATAAAAAAAGGTTATGAAATTCTAAACGAATAATATTTAAACAATGAAAAAGTTACTTTTGTTTCATTATTAAAATCTATGATATATACATAACTTGATCGTAGATTATACACACCCGATTGTCTTTAGAAGATTTTATTATGATTTATAAAAAAATATACATGTAACATTAATCGATTTGGGTTATTATTAACTTTTATCTTTTTTACTGTTATTAACATGTTTAGTAGAGACGGAACAGAAATTGGTAAGAAATTAGAAAAGAATTCATTTTAATTTTTTAAGAATAATCTGTTAATGTAACTTGAATACTGGCGAAGAGAAAACTCGTGGAGGGAAAAGAAACCAGGTTTAAAGATAAATGCTATATTCATTGTATTATATGTACATAGAAAAGCAAATTACACATCATATTTTTTTCTTCATAATTTCTTATATCTTTTAATATATAAAGACTTGTTATTGAGATTTAACTGTTTAAGTCGCGCCACTTCCTATTCCTCCATTGATCATAAACTCCATCATTCCTTATGGACCATTTCGTAGGATTCGGAGCATCCTGCCAGTTGTTAACAAACACATCCCATCCCACTCGCTGTCCATACCAGTCCATATTACACCAGAACTGAGTTGTTCGATGTCTTTTGAAGGCCCACACTATTTTATCCCCCGGCTTCACCCAAACGCCATCGTCTCCACCGATCTTGTCGTCTTTAGAGGCGCACCACATATGAGCATGATGTTTTCCTTCGTTGTGTACTTCAACAGTCCACTCTTGTGTTTTATCTACGATATTAATAATGGCGCCGAGAGCAGCCACGACCCAACTATTTACGTAGACGATTTGACATACTAACAAACCAACCACCAATGCGTACTTATTCATGTTTAGTTCTTCTCTGAACTTTCCTACCTAGAGATCTACCTTTTATAGAGTTTCGTTGTGAATACCATTAAACCTGATTGTCATAAATTATTACTTGTACAATTCACACATAACAAGTTTCTTGCTGATATCAAATACCTATATTGTGGGTTGTACTAAAAATACTATATAAATACAAATCAATTTATATTTTTTGAGCTTATAATTTGAATATTGAAGAATATTCTTGTAAAATATCGTAATTAAGAATTTGGATTTTAATTTATTGCCTTTCTTCTTAAATTAATCAAACTTGTTTTACATATGTAAAATGTATATATGCCTCTACATTCGTTTAATATGACATTTTTTGGTCCTGTTTCAATCATTAGAATAAATAATAATACTAACAGCTACTTATTTCTGTTAGTATTAACCACATCTTGACATATGTAATACGAGGTAAATTGAACTTATACAGTCCAGTAACGGTTTTTCTAGTCTATATCATTCTCGTAAATACACAAAAAAAAAACTTTGGCAAACCCAGAGAACAATAATATTTTAATAGTATGAAACATAATGTTTTATTTTAAATGAAGTCATTATCTTAAAATTAATTAGGACTTGACTTAAAATAATTTCAATAACAATTATTTCGAACAAAAATTTCGGTATTTACAACTAAAATACTGGTCTTAAATTACTTATGGAAATAGTTTAAGAAGTTCGTAACTAAAAAAATAATTTATTATAAATGTCAATCAAATTTACTAGTTGAGTGTCAAAACAAAACATGTATAAAACTAAGTCAGTATTAGACGCATCTATTAATTGTATGCAAGACTAAAACAAACAGGCAAAACAAAACAGGCGTTTTTTGGACACGAAAAATAAGACATTATATATGTATAATAAGTATATTTATTACAAGAAGTATACACTATACATTTAAAACAGACCTAATGTGTTCCATGTGATTTAGATGCATTAAGTTACCCTTTTACGAGTATAACAGATCGTTGAATATATTTGTAATTTAGAAGATAAAATAGTCTTGATAATACAAGACTATTTCACATAGTATAGTACATATCTTTACTATAGTATAAGATACAGTATGTTCCTTAAAAGTGCATTCAAAGATTTGAGCATGTAATTGGTGTCTGAGAGCAACTTTGACTACGAGTATAAACCATAAAATTGACAATGTGAATATTGTTTTATGGTAAAGAGATAAATTAACTTCTTAACTTTCTCCACTTCCTATTTTTCCATTGATCATAAACTCCATCATTCCTTATGGACCATTTCGTTGGGTTTGGTGCATCTCTCCAGTTGTTAACAAACACATCCCATCCCACTCGCTGTCCATACCAGTCCATATTACACCAGAACTGAGTTGTTCGATGTCTTCGGAACGACCACATGATCTTGTCTCCCGGTTTCACCCAGATGCCGTTATTTCCTCCGATTTTATCGTCCTTAGAAGCGCACCACATATGAGCGTGGTGTTTGCCATTATTATGTACTTCAACAGTCCACACTTTAGTTTTTTCAATGATGTTGATAATTGTGCCGAGAGCTGAAGTAGCGATTCCCACTACGGCCCATGCGAAGCAGTTGACATAAATCATCTGAGCTAGTATCAAACCAGCCAACAGTATGTGTTTACTCTTCATGACTAGTTCGGTTATGACTTCAAGTACCTGAAGAGCTTCCTTTAAATACTCTTCCATAATCTTATTGTTGTGGTTTAACCCGTTACTATTATTCATTTCGGTTATTTGTGTTTGGGTAATGGTTTAATTAACATAGGATAGTAATGATGTTTTGTAGATCGTCTAATAGGTTTTCCCTAAATAATAATTTTTGACGTCAATCCATCGCCAAACATTTGCTAGTTTCTACTTCTGTGTGTTCTTCGTATCTCTCAGTAAATAGAGTATAAAATATACAACATTGAATATTTGATGTGATGGTATGATTGTTGTGACTTTCTTAGAGTACTAAGAAATGTCACCAACTTAACTTTATGAAGGGTAAGACTTACGCACGCGCATTGAATAAGTTTAATTATTTTATTATATCAAATCAATCAAGCCAAATATTGTAATGTATTCGTTATTCTATACAAGTTAATCTTGAATTAAACAAACCTGACTTTCGATTAGGAAAGAAAAGAAAGACATAAAAGTTGCGTGAGAAAAAAGAGAAGTAACAACGTATTCTATAAAATAAAGAAATCAAATTCAAGACTTGATTTGAAATATAAAAACAAAAATAAAGACTAGAAAAAAATGTTACATAGCGATAAATAACCCTCCTATGATATAGTTGAGAGCTCTTTTAGATGGGAAAAATTAAAAAAATGGTTATCAAATTTGAGGGACACACGAAGCCTGAAATCTATGGCACTTGTTTTTTAACTTTTGATAATCAACAAAAACCTCGTTGCTTTTATGTCCACGGTTAGAGCCAAGATCGTCATTAAATATTCTGGATAACATATTTATAGTATAGCATTCATTATTGTTAAATCAATACAATTTCAAGAATTAATATTCAAGTTAATATAAATTCAGGTACACAGAGTGTTAATGTAAAAGTTACAAACTGCAAAATCCGATAAACACATACAACGCAGTTAGATTGAAACCAATAATTTTGTTTGTTATGAGTAAAACTTTAATTATGAACGATTTAAATTCTCATCATACTAGCTGATACATATGAAAACCTATGACCGCTGGAATATGATTCAATGCAGCATTCCATTACAATTTTATGACACTAAATAGAAATCTATATTGTACTAGTATAAAATTGTTAAATAATAATACTTGTGAAATATCACCAAATATAAAATTCGTGTCAAGTGATGTTGCAGTTATATGATTGACATATTTCAAATGAAAAACTAACAAGTGACCACTTAAAATTTATCCAAAAGCCAAATTTTAAGTTAGCCACTTTATACATTAACGGTACTGAAAGCACTTAAAATATTTTAATAATTTAATTTAAAATATTATTGGTGATAAATTAATATCGCTTCTAATATATTTATAACGTTTATTAAGTAATATTTTAATCCAAGTATGAACTAGTTTTAACGATAATGGGTATTTCCACATTTCTAAATTAGTCGCTGGACATAGTTTACCTCTGAGTGTGTTTAAAAATAAAAACACTAAACCAAGTTTAGATAGTAAAGAAAACCAAAATTTAGTCAGAAAAACGAATCGAAAAAATATATGTTATTAATAGGAAGAAGTTCTGTAGCAACATGTTGTAGGTGGTAGAGCCTAACTGTGGTCAGTTACTACAGCTCGAACATGGGCTGGCTCGACCGGGGAAGTACCACCCTCTCACAGAAGATCGGTGTGAAGTAGCCTTTAATGCCTGCGTTTCGTCGGATGAGTGGAGAGCCGGTTGCCCTTTCCCTATTCCCACCCTTTCCTACCATTTCCTTATTCCCACCCCTTCCTATCCATACAAACCAAGGTTGACAATGCATCCGCAACATAGATGAACTTACTATTTTTGATTTTGATACTCACATCTCGTCTGTCCGTGATCACGGTTGCTGAAAAGTAGCCGAAACGTCGGGAGTATGTAGTTTCTAATCAAAAATAAAACGCGAAGTAAAATCCGAAAATATTAGTTTCATTTCAATGAGTACTCGCGAAAATCTTAGATCTCATTACTTTTATTCTGATAATAATCAAAGATACAGCACCTAAAGATTACGAAATAATGTACTTAATGATTTCTTATCTGCCAGTGTAAGAGAAAGTGTTTTTTGTATTTATCAACAACCTGTTATATATTTACTTCAATGTAGAGTAGTCTTGAAGCAGTAGTTTCTTAATATACAAGTGTTTCTTCCAAATTAAGTATAATAACATTTAAGTTGCGTATATGAGTATATTAGTGGATTCTTTCTATGTCACAAAACCCATAAAGTCGTTTATTAAAAAAAATGAATATTATAATATTATCTTTTGGTGGCTGGCTTTAAAAGGATTCAATCATCACACTGGTAAAGTTACCTACTCTCTAGTTTGGCTGGTTACACAAATACGAATTGGATTTTCATGAACATAGTTTTCAGCTGGATTTTTCACGGATATAGAAATACATATGCATAGAAAGATATAATTATCTATACATATAATATTAAATAATATCAAAGTAGAATAAAACATCTGTCAATACGTCTAGTGTTTTTTAAATAAATTAGATATCTTTAGATAAATATAACAATTAAGGTTTTGTACACACTTAGTCAAAAAAACTGAAAAAGCGATATAAAAGTTAAAGATAAACTATCCATCTTAGCCGTGTGAGGTCCAAAGGTAAATTATAATATAATGAAATTTAAAATAATAAATAAAATAATTTTAAATTAAAGAACAGTGAATCAGTCCGAAAACAATTTAGATCGTACATCGTATAAAAAAGATATCAATATTTTCGTATAATATATACTGATTCATTAAAGAATATTTATTATTGTGAAGAAGCTTTTTACAATCCGAGAATATAGATATTGAGAATATACAATAATGTATTTAAATTAAGGAAATACATCCTTGTTTGTAATATCATTGGAACCGCTTCAATAGCCAGCGCTTTGTAATATGGAAGAGTTTAATTGCAATAACACATACGGATAGAAAAAGTACGTAACAATTTAAATATTTAAATGATAGATATAAAGAAAAAGGACTTAGGTAAAATACCCAATTATATCAACCGCTGGTTTTGTCTCTGTTTGGTAAGTTAAACAGGCAATTTTGAGCCGACTCACAAAATCTCGACACAACTTCAAAAAAATTGTATTCCCTTGGTCTTTCATAATAAGCGATGCGGAGATCTGATGGAGAACAAAAGAACGAGGCTGGTGTATAATCAGTAGAAAAGTATTTATAATAAAGAAATATATTAACAAGAATATAATTTAAAAGTAGTAATATAAAAAAATATATATATTTAGAAATAACAGGTAAAAATCA